CGTTTAGTTTACACTCGAAGTAGATTGGTCTATCGAAGCGATATCCCAATTCGTCGGTCACGACGTGACTCGTAGTGACCGACTGAAAGGGAACTGTTCTTTTGAATTGGTTCTTTTGAACCAATTCAGTCAAATTGTTCTGAATGATTCATTAGTGAATCAGTATGAATCAAAATGATTTGAACATGTTCAGCAATCACAAATGACTCCAATAGAAAGGGTGTGAGATCCCTGAATTTTTTTGAAAATTTTTGAAAATTTAAATCTGATAAAGTAATAGATAATGTCAGTATTTGTTCTATCGATGTATTGATATGAATGATATGAATCCTAACAGAAAGTACTCAAGCAGCCTGCTGTTGCTATGGTTACTTGCTTAGATGATCACGACTCATGAAAATCCACACTCTGAATCTGAACTTACTTTTGTGTTTGTGGAAATGTTCCTCATGCAGTATGAAGAATTAAATATGTTGAGTGTCTGCTTTTGAAGACCCTCAACCTTTTGTTTGGACTTAAGCGCTTCTGTAATTCTGGCTGTATTTTATAAGAGATGCACACATATAGAAATGTGACTGAAAATGCATCGCGTTTGCATTGTGTTCAAGGCACAACAACATCTCTCTCCACGTTTGCGTTCCCTTTGATGAACAAAGCTGCATTTTCATGAAAACCCAGTGAAGACGTCCAATTTTCACATCATAATGACTGACTCTGAATGAACCTCTTATTGCCCTTAATTATCGATAGATGTTGGCCCAAAAACAGATTGGCCACTCGCCTGAGCTTTGATCTCTGAAATGAGACGTGACCACCAGAGCCTTGTGAACTGATCAATAGACACCTTTTAAAGGGGTCATATGATGCGATTTCAAATTTTCCTTTCTCTTTGGAGTGTTACAAGCTCTTGGTGCATAAAGAAGATCTGTAAAGTTGCAAAGACTAAAGTCTCAAATCCAAAGAGATATTCTTTATAAAAGTTAAGAGTCAACCACGCCTACCTAAAACGGCTCGTTCTAACACGCCCCCACATGTCTACGTCACTATTTGGGCGCCATTATGCAACTCTTCCCACATTTTCACGCAAAGAAAGAAGGCGTAACTTAAAAATATTTGGCTGCACAACTGTTGATAATTCTAATAATAAATCAGCATATTAGAATGATTT